GGATACTCAAATTTTACTGAGTTTCAAAAAAAGAAACTCCCAGGCATCTTAAAGGTAATTCTGAGTAATTGCTAAAAACAGACGACTGTCTGCAGACAATTCTCTACTACCTCTCAAAATAACATGGAGATAACATGACTTTTAAGATCAAGCCTTCCTCCCTCACAATCTATCCCTACTGGCCTAATAAAGGTATTACCACAATATGGATTTTGTTTTTCGTTAATACCGTGTTTCCCTGAAAATAAAGGTCTTATATTAATTTTTGCTCCAAAAACATATCAGGGCTTATTTTCAGGGGATGTTTTTTTTTTTCATGTAGAACAATATACATTTATTCAAATACAGTCATGTCATCTTCTGGTTTCTGCACAGTGGTGGAGAGTGGGGTTTCACTTAGGTGGGGCTTATTTTCAGGGTAGGGCTTATATTACGAGCATCCTGAAAAATCATACCAGGGCATATTTTCAGGGAAACAGGTTACTATCAAGACAGTCACCAAGATGGTTCACACTAATCTAATAACCTGAGTCTGTATTTCCAGGGGGAGAGTGTTGCTTAAAACCTACTAACATATGTTCTATCTTTAAAACTGCATTTCAAGACTTTTCTCAAGAACATGAATAGAGTTTACTTTCCTATGAACAGTAAAACCTGAAGTCTGTATTTCCAGGGGAGAGTGTTGCTTAAAACCTACTAACATATGTTCTATCTTTAAAACTGCATTTCAAGACTTTTCTCAAGAACATGAACAGAGTTTACTTTCCTATGAACAGGAAAGTAACTCGATGGATTACCTACTCTTCGATCTGGCAAAGAGGCTCGTCATCCCACCTCCTGCCAGGAGTAGCTAATCCACTGCGAGCTCCAGAGCGATAGGACGGGAGAGTGGAGCCAGCAGCAGCAGTGGAATGGTGAGTGGATGGTTATTTCCACCTGTTGGGGTATTCGTATACGAATATGAATACCCCCATCTCTAAACAGGATCAAAATACTCAGGGAGAATAAGGAAAAAAATGTAGATGGTGGCATGCTTAAATGCATACAATATGTTATTGTATTTTTACCTGTCTGAAAGCCGCCTAGAGTGGTCGTATTGACCAGATAGGCAGGGTATAAATAGAATAAATAAATAAAATAAATAAAATAAAGTTCATATTTTCTTCTAAATCATCCCCTCATTTTTTTCTTCTAAATCATCCCCTCATTTTTATTTTATCCCTCAACAGACATTAACAGCTCTATTCAAAAAAGGGTTAACTTGAAAAACTTAAGGAGAGAGAGCTAGTCCCATCTGTTAAAAGCAAAATAACACAGAAACTTGGAAAAAAACACTGCAGACAATATTGGCAACAGTTGTCTTATTTTATTTGTCTGCATGTCTGGAGTGTGGTGTAGTAGACAGAGTGACAGACTAGGACTCAAGATATTTAGGTTCAAATCCCTACTTGCTCATGGAGACTCATGGTGCGCAGGGGAATGGTACAGGTAAAAAACATTCCTTAAGCATCTCACTTATTGGGAAAGCCCAGTTAGGGTTAGCCCAAGTCAATTCAAACTTAATGGCACACAG